TGAGCCATGATATCATCAATAAGAATCTAATAACTGGCTACATATTTAATATGCATTTAGTGTCAAAGCAAACCTTTATGCCCACCAATGCTTTCACCAGCTCAACCAGTAATATGGGTCCCACTTGTATCATGAACTCTGCCTTCCTCTTAGAGAACAACCGTATCTACCTCTCTTATTTGAAGATCAGAGAAACACAAAGCCTTCATAGACCATGTACTAATAGCTCCCCTTACTAGAATGCTTCACAGGTTACAAAGAACTGCATCTGCTTTCAGAGTTGAATAAAATTTAGGTGATTTCCCAGTACCACATACTAGTAAGTGGATTTTTGATTCCTCATCAGTTTTTTGACCAAAGAAATTTTTTTAATTTGAGGTTCTCACCATGGCACCTCCAAAAAAGTTAATTTAAAGGCAACTCAAAATTCTTATTTCCTCTCCCTGGCATCCTTTGGAACTGGACACGTATCTTTATCAGAATATCTGCAGATATTTTCATAAGACTGTACATTTCCTAATGGATGCTTTGGTCTATTGGCCTTACCACCACTAACGTCGATTCTCAAAAAGGAAAATCCTCCAGAAGATATTTGTATACTCACAACTTCCTAATCTAAAGTCCATTCCTTGCTACTTCTCTATTTTAAGAAGTATTGTATAAACCTAAGATTCATTAGCTATGGACAAGTGTAAAAATAAAGGTTGTGTTGAAGCATAACAAAATATATAAAATAAATACCTGCTGAAAGACGACAACTCTCAAAATATGAACTACATCCCAAAAGAGTAGCCAGACTGATGAAATGACGACTCAGGAATACCAGGAGGTATGAAATTACATCAGGCACATAAAGGAGATTCTTAACATAAAATTTTTCTTAACTATTCCTATGCATATATTGAGTTAGAATAAGAAATTGGTGCACAGGTTTACATATTAATCATTTTTTTGTAGGGTGGGCAGTTGCTTTATTCTGGAGAGCATCCCTGTTGAGAACACATCTTAGAGCACTGTAACAGCTTTGCTTATGTTACATTTTAAGCAATATTAAATTACATTATAGCCTTAACTCCTTGGAAATGTAGCGAAATTATTAATTTTTGATCTTAGTAGCCTCATTTTATTTTTCACAGAAGAAAGCCACCAAACTTAGACTTCTGCTGTGGCTGATCAACTTCTACCCAAGGGAAAGTGTAAACGGCCCCAACTTTTCTCCAGAGTCTAAAAGATGTCACAAAGACATCTGGTTGTTCTTCAAATTTAATTTATTTTGTTTCAGTTTTACTTTTTCCATTAGTGATGGAAGTTAGTTATTTCAGGGCAAAATCAGTATTTTCCAACATCTATGGCTAACTGGCCAGGATCTCAATTGGTACCCTGTGGGCACCACTTACTTATAAAGACTCTGTAGATACTTATGGCTAAAACCTAATAAGGATTTTAAATTACAACATAGAAGGAAATAACAAACAAATTTAAAATTTTAGTTTGTGAAAAAATGAAAGCCATGGTTGAGGCCTGAAAGCAGTGTCACCACATTTATTACATCTTATTCCTAATCTGCCACTGGCAGATAATGGATCAGTGGAAAAAGATAAGTGGGGATCTGCATAAGTATCTTGAGTACAAAACTAGTACTATATGACATGCAAAACCTGGTCTAGATGATCAATTTCCAGGATATTTTAATTTTTTGTATCAATAAGTAATAGCATTAGTAATTTCTTAAATGTGAACAGTGAAGGGTATATATCCTGATATGGGCTAATTTAGATTTCATAAAAAATAGGCAATTCTTACTGGACTATATGAATGCTTTGTATCTCTTTTTATGGTGCTGGTTAAATATAGATTTTAAGGGTATGATGAATGGAGGGTCTCACTTTATGGGCTTGTTTTTTTTCAAAAAAAGTAGGCTGGATGATCAGGAATTCCAACTATGCAAATTATTTCTTTTACTACCTGTGTAATTACCTAATTGGCAGCAAAAATTTTTTTTCTTATGCAGAGATAAAACAGGCTTTTCAAGTGCCAAGACATTCTCCTGACCGCAACACTGTGCAACACTGTGCCTGTATAAATTTATTGTTTATGAATGGAAGTTACTAATATAACAACAGTAACAAGAAATAAATTCCTTCAGAAAGTATGGCAATAAGGGTGTCATAAACATGAAGAAAAGCCAATCAAGTAATGTAAACAAAGGTGACATCTTAACATAAAGGAATTTTGTTTTAGATGGGAAAAAAAATCAACTTCCATGTGTCTATTACTATAAAGCGACACAAATAAGAACTTCTATTAATTATAGTAGTGTTGGATGAAAGAACCATTAAACTAAATAACAACAGATCTATTTTAAATTAACACATTCCACAGCAACATTACTAAAATTATCATCTCAAGATCATGAAAAATCAAGATTAGTTTATGACCACTACAGCATAAAAACAAAGTGAACTTGCTTTATAATTGTATGTATGAATTCCAAAGATGCTAACAGAACTGAAACCTTTCAGTGCTCAGTTATATGTTCAGATTATTCTCATTACATACCTCTGTTCTCGATAGTTTCTTTATTGACAAGGAGAGAGAAGAGAGAGAGAGCCAGAGGAGAAAAAAAAAACAAAAACTGGTTACCAACAGAAGTACATTGAGAGAGAGCACTAAAACATAAAAGCTCTAACATTCATTGAAAGATCTCCATTAGAGGATTTTGGGGAAGACAAACAGTCTTACACACATACATATGAATGCACACACACAAACACATAAATTTCATCTTTCAAAGAAGTGACACTAAAGGGTTAGTGACAATATTTTCAAATAACAATTTTTAAAAGCATAAAGTTTCAGTTATTAAAAAGTAATTATTTTCTCAATGTCAATTGTATCATATTAAAAACTTAGTACTGTTCTAAAGTTGACACTATTTCAAATACAGGTATTAGACATGTATATTGATTTAAATAATGAAATTAGTCAAGTTACTTATATAAACTGTGTTTTCATACAAATAAAAAGCATAATTCATTCCTTTCGGAACATATGCCCCAAACTAAAGCTCTTCCTAAGAATTTCAAATAGTTAAACTTAACGGATACAAGAATATTATATCTCATCATGTATGATAAATTACAGTGAGAATTCACAGCTGTTTTGGACCTCCCAAGTTATTACTACTTACTCACAGGAGCTTCATTGAAAGCTACATTGGAACTACTTTGTTCAAAGTTTAGTCTCTATTTTTTATTTGGCCAAGTACTAAAATAAAATTACATGAGTTTCAAAATAAATCAGTCTGAAACAAAAATGTGTTTAAGAGGGTGTGGCAGTGAGGTGCCAATGGCTTTTAACTTTTGACTCAAAAGAGTTAATGTTTAGCTTTCTATAATGACCTAATTAGGTGTTACTATTTCATAGAAGTGTTGAAAGCTCAAGCGATCGAGCAGTGGGCTCCTTTCACCAACATCAAGGCTAATGTTTCTATGTGGATTTCATTTGCAGCACTTTCACTGGCCAATCTATTCCATGCACCTCATTTAATAATGAGCTCATGAAGGTAAAAGTGCCAATTTGTTACTTAATATTTTTTATTCCTGAGATCATCAGATGAGGGAGAAAATAAATCAACATTTTTCTATTCAAAATGTTTTACTTTTTATTGTCTGTCTGATTATCTGAGCAGTCTACCAGTTTCAAATAAGTATTCCTCATTTCCAATCCCTGACATTCCTCCCACTCTTGGAAAAGGAACAGAAACTTTAATTGGAAGGATTAATGAGAAAATGAGTTCTCAGGTCCTAAATCCATTTTGGAAGTTCAAACAGAATATGTGAAACAGCACATTCATGAATTTAACTCCTCTATTAAAATTTCTACATCCTCATTCTATTTTTAAACATATTCTGAATAAATTTAGTAACATTAAAAGTTCCATCATTTAGGTTCAAATTATTTATGAAGAGAATATTGTGGTATGAACAAGTTTTGTCTTTTTCCTTAATGAATCTGCAAAGTACATATATTTAGAAATGAAAAAAAAAGTGAAACCATATGAATTTCATAAAAATAAGAAATGATATACAGAAAGAAGTACTTTAAATGCTAATCATTAAAATCAACAGACACAGGTAATTTCATTAGCAGTAAGAGTAGATGTTTAAATTTTATATTTTCTGAAAGGTAATTTTTTCCAAGACTGTAAACATGAAATAATCACTTTGCATCAGTGGGTGGCAAAAAATCATGCACAGGACAATTTTGCTTCCCCTTTTCACATGATCAATGAAACCACTGAACTACTTTGAAACAGAAATGGTTGGGGTTGGGGTGGGTATAGCTCAGTGGCAGAGTGCATGCTTAGCATGCATAAGGTCCTGGGTTCAATTCCCAGTACTTCCATTAAAAAAAAAAAGTTAAAAACAGCAATAGTTGTGATGGCTACTGTTACACAGCAGGGAAGTCAAGGAAATAGTGTGACGCAAAGATGGGGCTGAGTCACCTGAAGTGTGAGGAGAAATCAAACAATATATAGAGAAAAACCCTTCCTTCAACCAAATAATTGTATACTTCAAATGTTAGGCTGAAATCAGCCTGTTCAAATATAAGTATGCAACGTGCTTAATGACTTGCACATCCAAGAGGTGCACAGGTACTAAGCATCTGTGAGCTGGTACAGAGCTTCGTATCCATGTAATCAGAGCCAAGCATTGCCATGATGCTGTGCTCTCCTTCGCTAGGCTATGCCATATTAAATTGTGTTATGCTAAACTTTATTGTGCTGTCTGTGCTATCGGTTAATACAGCCTTGCACAAATGTCTTTCTGCATTTTAATACTTGTAAGAAAGTTTATCCTAGTAGTTGACTAATTGCTCTCTCTTTTCAGTGAAAGAAACTCCTTCAGGGTTCTGATCTCACAACAAGCAAGAGCCATATGCACTTTTAAGGGGGTTTCTTTTAATTCAGTTCATATAAAACCAAGTCAGGTAATAACAGTAATAGCAAATAATTATATAATGCCTAGTCTATTGAAAGGTTTGGAGTAATTTAAAAGTCTAAAATTGTCTAATTCCCAAGTCTTTTAGTAAAACAAATTTGGTCTATGAACTTAAAAAAAAAAAAGCTATAAAGCTGTAAATGGGGTAATATCCAGAAAAGCTAGCAAAGTTGCAGGCCTTCCAAATGGAGAAACACCCAATCCTGGAGACCTGAAACATTATCTGAGATCAGCAGGACTATTTAAAAATGAAAATATTAGAAAAACTTAAAGTTCACCATACTTAGGTTTTACTTTATTAAATATTAATAAGTTATTCGAATTCTGATGAAAAATTTTCACATCATAAGACTTAAAAAAGAAACCGAACATATTAAATATACAAATAAGTTTGGAATGTCTGAAGTCATTTACTTACCTAAGGGAACCCTATATTCAAAACTTACATAGTGAATAACTTTTTAATCTTTATAAATAGAACCAAAAAAATTTTAAGTTGAACTTTGGAGCTTAAGAATTGGGCATTTAAAGGTTGTAACTTATAGTTGGAATTTTAATTTCAACAAATTATATCTCTGAAGAGTCTTGTCTTCACACAAAAACGCCCACATATTTAGCAGGTAAGGGTGCCTCCTTCATGCTGGTTGCGGACAGGTTTTGCTCTTAGCATGACGCACGGTCAGGTCATCGAAAGCCCTCCGTAGCAGATCTGCTACTGTTCTTGTTGAGATGACCTTTGTCATCAAAGTGCTGTGCTAACTGACTACCTTGCTTAGATTTCCAGGTACGGGTTTAAGTCAAAAGAACCTGCATCACTAAAGAGCAACCCAACACAGCCTTTGTATGAGACATAATTTAAACTGATTTTACTTCATGTAATGGTTTTAAAACAATATTCAGTATTTTTTAGAATAGAAGGGAGTTACCTCAAAATCTAAAAAATGATAAATTATTATTACCTCTAATCCTACCAAGAACTATCATTGATTGAATCGTTGAGCCAGACTGATTTTCACTGCAGGTATATTTATCTAATGATATAAAACTTTTAAGATGTTTAATTCATTTAAGCAAATATTTTAAAGTATATTTTGACAGTAACATACAGAGACATTTCACTTACTTATAACCCCATGCTGTTATTCCTAAAATGAGGGCCAGCACTAAAATGGTGCCAGCAATTATGCCTATTATGATATTGGTACCAGCAACACCTAGGAGAAAAAAAGAAACAATGAAGATCAGTGTATACAATTGGAATTTTAATACAATCCCTTCAGAAACTTTATTCTCCAGATTTGTAATCATCACACTAAGAACATTATTTGTTTTCAAAAGTGGATAATTTTCTCTTTATATAGTTTTAATTTTAGAGAACATTTTAAAAATTTTATTTATTTATTGAGACATAATTGACATATGACATTACACTAGTTTCAGGTGTATGACATAATGATTTGATATTTGTATATACTGTGAAATAAAAAGTGGGTATTTTCTACAGCAAGGAAAGATCAACTATAACTTAGGAATCCGTATCAACTGTTTTTTAAAACATAATTCTTTGTGTATGTTCCCTTTTAATTCTTATTCAAGTGCACTTTGTACTTTTATTTTCTATGTTTTTTTTTTCTGGAAAATAAAAGGTCATTGAACTAAAAGAAAGAAGAGGAAAGACAAGGAAAAAATTCGGGGCAATACTAATATATTAGCACAGTACCCTTTGGGGAGGAATGTTTAGAAACCTAGGGTGCTTTTGACGCCAACCTCTTCCTCAGAAATTCTAGAAATGTTATTGTTCCTATTACTCCATTTTGATAACTAATCCAAGGTCCTTATTTTGCACCACATTTTGTCTAGATAAATACAAG